GCACAACTTACAAATAGCTTAACTAATTTATTAATTAATTTTCAATAATTTTAGTTAAGTATAAAATATGTTTTAAGCAGTCTTTATATATGTTTTATATACATATGGATTATAGATCACGCATAGTTTTTGTAATACTTGAAGTCATATCAAAGCTTCTCTACTCGCTTTTCTATCTCCCCTGAGAAACGCTTTCTATCTGCAAATAGCTTCGCTCTTTTATCTATAGCTCCAGCTGCACGTCTGTAAGAGGCGACAATCATTTCTTTTTTATCAGACGCAAAATTCAATCTGTGCCGCGCAGGTATTTAGTTCTTCGGCTCGATTTATGAAGCAGAACTGTGTGTGCGCAAACACACACACAGACACACACTCATTTGCTCAATTCTTGATTGCAGCAGCGTCAATTATTCAATTGTGCTCTTCTGTGTTGTTTACATAATTTGATTAAAGCATCGCGCGGCACATAATCAAAACTGACATGATAGGCTACTCCAAAGCAAAGTTCTTTCCGTTTCAATTGAAATTGAAAATTATATGAAGGGGGAGCACACAAACACACACATAAGCCGCATGTGTGTGTGTGTGTGTGTGAGCACATATCTAATTTACGTTCACGTTGAATTTTCAATTATCACCACAGACAAAGCTGGAATTACAATATGTGCATATATGTATGTATCTACTATATAAGTACATAAGCGCGAATTGAATCAAAGTTCAACTCGGCTGTCTGTGTTTTGGGCTCGAGTATAAATAGCTCAATAGGTAACAATAAAATGCTATTAGATTATTGTCGCTTTCAATTTCGCTTATGAAAGTTTGTAAAGCTTACAAAATCTATTGCAAAAGACGTCTTTGTATGCTAAGTGAGTCAAGAAAATACAAGAAGGAACGACTGATTCATATAAAAGGCAATAATTTTGAATCTGCCATGACCCGCCCCAATGGTTGAGCCATATAAAAAATAGGTCTGTGCAATAGGTGCATAGAAGGTCAATACTGATCGATTGTAACTCTAAATTTAAGAAGATATGGGTATTCCAATTAGAGACGCTTCTTGTTGCCGTAGTCAAGGTCTCTACTAATCAGTAGAGATATATAACAATTTATATGTCAAATTTGGATTTCTAGCAACAACAATTGAGACAGACTTAGTTTTTTTTCAATTTTTGCATAATTATTTTTATTGAGAGCTTGTAAATTTTTTATACTTTTAGAATTATTTATACTTAAATTTTTATATATTTTTTTGGTATTATTAAGAATTGTTGTATATGTTTTATTTTTTTATATTTCTTATTATTTTTATATACTTTAAAGATTATTTAGAATTATATATAATATTATATATAATATTTAAAATTATATATTCTTTATATTTTTATATATATTTAAAATTATTTTAAATTCTATATATTTTGTATGCTATGTATATTTATATATATTTTATACATACTTAATATAATGTATAAAATATAAGAGGCAAACCATGAGGTTTATACCTTATATAGAAAACATACAAAGAGCGCAGTCAATGCGATTAAAAAGGAAACAAAAAAAAAGAAATACAAGAGCAAATACATATAATTGCAGCTTCTATTTATAGGTTTTTGTTTAATATATTAAATAAATATTTACATTTAATATACTTACTCTTGCAGCATCGCACGGAGATATTTGAAAACACCAGCATTTCGCCAGCACGTAAGTCGACTGAGCTAGTCAGCTAAAGGACATAATATCCAAAATATTGTAAATCTCTTACAGAGCCCATGGAGAACTGGGAGTTCAAGTCGGCACAGCGCGAGGGATCGAACGTGTTGGGTCTGGTCATGTTCAGTGTAATACTGGGCACAACCATTGGTCGCATGCGTGAGAAGGGCCAACTGTTGCAGGACTTCTTTACAACGCTCAGTGAGGCCATGATGACCATAACATCGTGGGTGATTTGGTAAGCACGAATAATGGGCGTCAAATATTGTGCAACAATCTAAGTGGAACTGTTTTGACTGTAGGATATCTCCGTTGGGCGTGGCCTTTTTGATAGCAGCCAAGATCATTGAGATGGAGTCTATAGCGGCGACAATACAGTCTTTAGGCTGGTATTTTATAACCGTTATGATTGGACTGTTTTTGCATGGATTTGGTAAGATTATGCCATTGGCCACAATTGAACTGATTAGTGAAATTTTGAATTTGAATCATTTTCAGGCACAATTGCAGTCATCTTCTTTTTGGGCACGCGTCGCATGCCGTATCGCTTCATAGCCAAATTAAGTCAGGTTCTGGCCACCGCCTTCGGCACTGGCTCCAGCTCGGCCACCATGCCGTTGACAATTAAATGCTTGGATAATATGGGCATCGATCCGCGCGTGACACGCTTTGTCATACCCGTGGGCGCAACCATCAACATGGATGGAACTGCATTGTATGAGGCAGTGGCAGCACTATTTATTGCACAATACCGCGAGATGAGCTATTCGTTTGGCACCATTGTCGCTGTTAGCATAACTGCAACGGCTGCCTCGATTGGTGCGGCGGGCATACCACAGGCGGGTCTCGTTACAATGGTCATGGTATTGGACACGGTGGGCCTGGAGCCCAAGGATGTATCACTGATCATCGCTGTCGATTGGCTATTGTACGTAAATGACATTGCTCACTTTAAGTTGATATTAATTCTCATTTGATTGTTTTAGGGATCGTTTCCGTACCACCATTAACGTCATGTGCGATGCTCTGGGCACTATTTTGGTTAATCATTTGTCGAAGAACGATTTGGCAAGCGTTGATCGGGTGAGTGGACGATTCTCGTAGCACAAATGAATATTAAATTAAATTAATTTTATTAAATTCCAAATACACGCATGTGTAGCTAAACGCTGAGCCCCATGAGCTCCTCGAGCTGGGCACCAGTGGACATGAGATGAAAGAATGAAGGCAGTCTATGCTTGGCGCCTACAATCGCAAACGATGAGTGCTTGAGGACGAGCAGCAGTCTGATAACGACAGTGATTCCGATCAAGATAGGAACGATACTATCCACTCACGTTATCGTCAGCTAGCCTCATCATTTGGTTTGCGGCTGAAAGCGGCCAAGACGCAAATTTTGGAACAGTTGTAAATGCTGTCACAAGACATCAACGAATTTATTTTGCAACGATTGTCTTCGAGCGCGCAAGACACATCGAAAGATCAACAAAAAAACAAGAAACCAAACAACACAAAACAAAAACAATTTGGATAAAATTCCGTTAAACGTATTAACTAGCATACATCATGATGTAAATAATTATGAATATAATTAAATTAAATTGAGTTCAAATTTAAATTACATTTTCATACTTAGCATACATATATATTTATACATATATAAATATATATATTTAAAAAGCAGTAAACTTGTTATGCAGTTAATTCATAATTAAAAAATAATTCAATTTCAAGCCCTTTGCTATAGATTGTTAATGCATTTCCCAAAATTACATATGGAAAAGTAACGAAAATAGAAAGTTGTATAAACAACACGATTTGTGTTAAGAGCTAAGCAAATAATTTAACAAAAGCCGAAAACAAAAAGACATAAATATATTAAATAAAATTAGTTTCGCTCAAATTTTATGACAGAAAAAAATCACAGAGAAATTCAATGCCGTTTAAAGTTCTTGTTCGAAGCTGAGCTTTGTAAATACTTAATAGCTTAAGTATAATTAAAAAACAAAAGAAATTAATAAATAAAAAACATTACAAAATATGAACAAATTTTCAAGCGACGCATATTTAATGACAATAATGAATTATGATTAAATGTCAGCAACATTTACAAAAAAAAAAAAAAGAAAAAAAATACAGTAAATAAAATGAGAAATAATTTTATTTATTACATTGAATATTTATTAAAGCTAAGTGAACAATTTCAATTTATTAGACAAAAAGTTCAAAGAAGTATTGACAATTAATTGATATAATACTAATATTAATATTAATATTATTAATAATAATTACTATGTATGCATTATGCCATTTGTAGTTCTGTGTAGCCTAAATGTTTACAAAAATAAAATTTTCGAATCTGTACATGTACTTATATAAAATGGATAAATGAACCTTAACCAATCTCGCTGTCCACTTGTTGCTGGGGAGTTTAGATATGCAGATTGCAGCTGATGAGTAATAAATTGCGCAAATGATGTTTACAAGTGATTAGTACAAAACTTAAGGGAACATTCTTTGGAACTGTACATACTATACTATATATACTAAGCCCTTTGTTAACACATCGAAACAGCATCAATTCCAAGTGACGCAACCTTCATTAACACTAGACAGCAGAGCTGAAGTAAACAAGCAAACAAATTGCCTGACAAGGGGAAAATTTTGGTAAGTTTAAGTTCAATTTCATATATATTTATATATATATATCATATATAAATGAAAATATGTGTATTAAATAATTTGTATTTTAATATATTCTTATAAATTTTAATTACAATTTTGATAACATTTGCTTTTAGAAATTTTTATTATATATTGTATTATATATTATATATTATATATATTTTTTTATCCTTTTGTTTTTTTTTTCTTGCCTTTATTAAGATAGAGTTTTACTCTATTATAGAACTTAAAAACACTTGTGATATATGAACATTAACGTTGAGGTTTAAATATATAATACATTTGTACAGAGATTTTACGAGACTTTATTGAGTAGCATTGCGAATAGGAGTTGAAGCAATAAGAGGAGTCTTCATGCTCATTATTTTCGACATTTCGTCTTTTATTGTAGTGAGAGATTTAAGCCATATTTACAATTGAAAAACTATACTAGTAAAGAACTCAGACTGAGTTCTACATTTATAAATTTTCGATATATTTTTGCATTTTATTACATTTTTATTAAATGCTCATTCATGCCCAGTAACATTTGGAATTTATAAAAACTCTTTTTTTAATTATAAATTATTAAATATTTATCTTTTGATTAACCATAATTTATTCCGATAAATTGTATACAGATCTGTTTAATGTCGAATCATTGTTCGTATGAATGTATAAAAGTATGAAAATGCAAAAAGTGATCTATTATTTAATTATAAATAGAACTCGCTTTCATATACCCGGCAGATGAGCAATAGACTTATGACTCAATCGTGCTTATGCTTATTGCTGCCAAAAGCTTCATTTGCATTGGTATTCATAGAGCTTGTCTGTGGTCCCGGCGAAATAGAAATCACACTCGGTGGTGTCCTATGTGGTAGTCCCATGCAGGTTGGACAATTGCTCTGGTGTTTAGATGCAGCTGCCGTTCCATAAAATTGGTATAAGCACATCAAGCGATGGGCAACACACAGGAGGGGAATTAGCAGTGTGCCAAATATGACTAAGCCCAACCAGTAGCCGTTCTACAATCAGATCTAATTGCTGGAGGAGGCATCAAAAAAGGTATACATTTTTACTCACAACTGAATTGACCAAATGATCGCAGATTTTATTGACATTCTGTTCGTGCATGCGTGCCAGATGTTCACAGGGGCCAATTCGATCGAAACTCACATTGATAACCATATCGAAGTAATGGGAAATTTCGTTGTCAATATAGTTGGTATAATTATCGACAATGTTGCGTAAGTAATCGGTGCCAACAACTTCTATAAATTCCTGTGCATTGGCCAGCTTTGTTATTAATGTGAGAATGGAGTTATTGAAATTGTTATTCTCATATGTTATCAGATTGTCAATAGTCTCGACGTTGATTTGAATCTGACTCCTCGTTTGCTCTATGGATTTCTGCATCGGAAAATACTCATTCAAGTCAGTGGCCATTCTGAGTACGTTCGCATATGCCACTTCTAATCTATCTTCGACGTATTTACCATGATCTTGAGAAAAAAATTCTGCAGCCCAATTCCTCAATTCGCTTATAAAATCAGGCACGTCCAGTTCCGTTACCTCCGGGCACAGAACATCCATGTATAAGCTACTATGGTAATGTGATAAGAAGTTCTCCCGTATCTTGAACATACGATTAAACTCTTCTGGCGGCATAAATGTCACCATTTCGAAATGGACATCTAATTTACCAAATTGTATGAACGAACTCTCCTCCAAGTTTAACTTAATCTCCCTCAATTTCTCCATGTCGTACAAATTGCTTTCGCGCAGCATATCAAATATTGACTGATCTCCACGGCATGTTAGGATTGGATTCGCAAATGCATTCGCTCGATGGAGCGTTCTGTTCTTGACTGCATCCGATTTCTCTAGAACATTTTCCAGCAATGAATACAGTGTGTTTCGACCTTTATCATCGTGCAAAATGCACGCTGGATATATGACCAGGCCAAGCGTAAAGTAGAACAAGCCCATTATCATTATCATGGACAGGACGGCAAACATTAAGACAATCGCTCTGTAAAGAGTCAGCTTATAGGATATTAGAGAGAGACACAATGGAGTTCAGGACTAACATCAGCATACAGCTCGATCCAGAGTTATCTTTCCGTAGACAAAGTCCAGCTATAAGAGCATAGGTCAATATGAGCACAATCTAAAATATATAGGTTTTTACTCATGTTATAGGTTTTTAAATGAATGGTTACATGATTTTATTGAAGCATTTGAAGCACTTTCATATGTTACTATTTGAGAACATATATTTGATATCTCAATATTAGTATATACAAAAACTCAAAATAGTACTACTTGAACTGGGTCAAATTTATGATCAGAGTCTGAGAATTCATTACAGAATAGTCAAAATATTGATTTTTATCAATAAAAGGCAACTGCATGAACTAGCAAAAAAAATATTATGAACATGTACTGCATATGGTATAGAAAAATATGAGAGCGTCTAGTCCAGATGGATGGTAACACAAAAGGATAGAGGACTTATTTATATTTAGCTTTCGATAGCTTTCTATTGATTTAGCATATAATCAGCTTTATATAAGCTGAGCTTACTTTCGGCTTAGTTTTCAACAGCTTTCTATAGAGCAGAGCTTTCTATATTCTTTACGTGTTACTACTTAGCTTTGTATAGACTTCGCTTTTTTTTAATATCAGTTTTCTATAAATTGAGCTTTCTGCAGACTCAGCTTCCTGCAGAGTTAGAGCTTTCTGTAGCCGTAGCTTTCTGTAGATTTCAATATTTTTAGCTTTTATAGCATAAGCTTCGCTTTCTACATACTCAGCTTTCTTAAGGTTCAGCTTCCTGCAGTCTCAGAGCTTTCTATAGGCTCAGCTTTCTACAGAATTCCTTTTCTACACAGCAATCTTTATCGTATATATAATATATGAATATAAATAAATTATTTATCTATTGATGCAAAGGTCTAGAATATTAAATTGAAATAAAATGTTTATAATAACTAAAGAAGCAAATCTTAGCTATACACCGAGTGTACTCTAATTTTATATTTTTCATATTTACATATTTTTCGAGCTCACTCACCAACAGCATGATGAGCAACAGTGTGACACTGGCATACCAGCGACTACGTCCATAGTTATCGTAGAACTCTTCAAAGCTTTTGGTCGAATGCATTTTGTTCAGATATATATCGCTTATAGCCCCGTAAGTTACATTGCATATCTCGTAGCTCTCAGCCTTTAGCGTGTCGGCCATTATGCTGATGCGACGTAGCATGGGCGGTATCATTGGATCGAGAGCATGTTTGAATTTCTCTTTTTCCTCCAATAAGCGCCTCATCCATGTCTTTGGCAGCTTAAAGTAGTCCTTATAAATAATATTCTCAATATCCTCAATAAACGCGCTTGTATTCGGCAGCTGAGAAAAGAGATAAAGAAGCTATTTAGAGTTTGTTCTTGCTTTGAGTGCAGATTGAAGACCTCTACTTTATCGAAGTGAAGGCAACTTGAGGTGTCCATAAATAAAAGGTTATTCTTCGTAATAACCTGATTGCACGGAAGGAAATCGCACCAGACCGTGAGAACATAAAGGAGATCACGCTTAGCCCCACGCAAACCTAACGAAAGAATTAGTTTGATTTCAATTATTTGATATTTGAGATATTCGATTTACTGTCTCTGTATTGGCTGCCAACGAAAACCAAATAGGCCTGCATTTCCTTCACCTGTTTCATCAATTCTAATGCCTGGGGCATATTGTCGAAGATGTCCTCCAATACCTCTATCAGAAATAGACCAGCCTCTGTAGTCAGATCCTTCAACGCCATGTCAGCAATGGCTGTGGGAAAAGTGACTCCGGCATTATTTGACCAATCGAATGAAGCAAAACCGATCAAAATGCTAACCGAACAGCTGACTAGTCACAACCGTTTCCAACTCCCCAAAGTTATTCACGAGCAAATGACGTACATTATTGCAGATGTCCTCCAGCAAGGCGCAGTTGTCCTTGCTGTTGCGCATTATTGTTTCGCTGCTATCTCGCAGTGCATTGTTGATTAGCCTATCGTTCAGAAAGGCAACGACCAAGCCAAACCTAAATTGAAGCTCCAATTATATATATATCTATTCCATCCTGTGCTGCACTTACAGAATTCCCAGTATTAGTGGTATTAGCAGTAAACTAAGTAAAATACGCTTGGTAGCAGTCGATCTACTTTGACAAGGTGGACAAATGCTGCGGCAACGGAAGCAACAGAAACAAAAATAACATACCCTGTGGGAAATTATGTAGAAATTGTCATATGAAAATATTATTAATGTTGTATGGATGATAAATGTTGTTATCTCATTGTATTTCGTCTGGCAATCCGCTTTTTTTTATTTATTTAATATTAATAATATTAATATTAATAATATTATTTATTTATTTAATATAGGAGCGCTTATATATATTTATTCTCAGAGAAGCTTTTGATCTTCAGATGAAAACAGAATGAAAATTAATGGAGAGCACGATTGATCAAGGAAGATTTTCTTTCTAAAATAAACGTCAGATTTTCCGTGTCAATTATTCCTATAATCAACCTTATGAAAGACTCTCTATAACATATAGAATTTAATAACTCTTATTACGATATACATTAAATATTGTAAAAATTTAAGTAGACTGTTAAACAGAGCTGAAGAATACGTTTCATAAGAAAAGCTTAGCAGTAATAGTAAGGGAAACAGATATAATAAATATATATATATATATATATCAGGACTATAGTAAAATAAGTCAACTATAGTAAACTATAGTCAACTAAAGTTAAGTAGTGAGCTGTAATATACTAAAGTCGACTGCATTCACTGTTCAAAAAAAGACCACATATAAATAGATCATATAATAGATGAGCTGAGTATCAATAGATTATGCTTTCTTACTTACGCAATAAACGGAACGACTATTATGACAGTTAGCAAGAACAAGACCCAGACGAGTACGACAGTTTTACGGGCAATCAGAGCTTGCCAGACATTTGCCCATACCTTGGGACCCACGGCAAATGCAGTCGTGTTATCAATAGCAATAACATAACCTACAATTAAAAGTAATTAATAAATAATAGCATGATAAATGATACATGTATAAGGTAAAGTATTTACCTTCCGGTGCATCCTCATCTGGTGCATAGTAACTCTCAAATAGAGTGCGTGTAAATTTGTGTATAAAATCCATGCCCAATTTCGAATAGGTGGGCTCTAGGGAATAGTTTAAATGCGATTTGTACTCAGTATACGTGACGGATACAAATTCATCAATCGTAAATTCGCTGACTTGATTAGTATCATTTGCATTTCCAGTACTAGTTTCATTGTACAGCGATTCGTCCATGTTTCAAATATCACAAAATAAGCAAAACATTCGAGTCTTTGTTGCTTGGCTTGATCAATGGTTCAACAACACTGGCAAGTTGCATTTCTATAACAGTAAACACCTATATGCACATAAATATATCTAACTTACCATTAAATATTAAAAGGTTTACATTTCATATAATGCAATTCATGTCAAGTCTCATATAAAAAGCCATCCACTCTCTCTTCGTGCGTAAGCAAATAAAGATAAAAATTAAAAAAAAAACTATCGAAAACGTGTGTATTGTGTTTATGCAGAATAACAATGAAAGACAATAACAGTTAAATCAGAGATATTTTTTTCATTGAAAGTATTTGATATAGTAGGCAGTAGATGAAAGAAATATTATATAGGGTGGTCAATGAATATTGAATTCAGTATAGGTTCAGGGTATAATTGGCCTGCAGCTGCTGCTAGAGCGTTTGTGTCGGGAGAGCCCGACTAGAAGGCACCTGAACCCTGCGCAGCGGTGTTTAGGAAACGAAATAAAACTATCGATTTTTATCGATATATAGAAGCTAGCTATATGTAAGCTAGTGCTGAGTATGGTATACATGGCAAATGAAATTGGGTCAGCCTGATCATCGTCTTCATCCTGATCAAGAATATTAATTCTTTATGGAATCTGGCCAGCCTCTTTCTGAGTGTTACATAAATTGAAAAAATTAAGAGACCGAAAAAACAAACATATAGAAATAAATATATACATTTCAAAATAAAATATATTAAATAAAATTATAACTATTAAAGCTAAGTTCAGTATATGAATAAAAAACTCTTTTCAGCGGTGACCGACTAGGAGATACCCTGAACCAAGTCTATAGCTTGTATCGAGGATAAAAAAAGACATACAGATTCGAACTATTATCCTCATGGATTTGAACACCAATATTCCTGTAGATCTTCAGTTGCGTTTAGTTTTATACAATTTTTCAGTTAAAATCGTCGCCTTACGGGAGCAGAATCAGCTGATCTACAGTTGGTTAAATTAAATAGTTCACCATTTGGAGCTTCTCAAATATATAAATATTGTTTTTTTCAATACATTTAAAAGCTTTGAAACCGAAAGCAAGCATTATGTAGTCGGCCACTACCGACGGCAAGATTCTTCCTTCTGTTTGCACAGCTAACTGGTCTTATTTACTTATATGATATGACTTAAAATCCAATGATAAAAAGACCCCAGCGAAATGCTGTAAAATATTCAAAACCATTTGTTAAACACACGACAAAAAAAAACATTGACAATGAAAAAACATTGTTCAAAATTGATGGCATCGAACAGAACGAAATTCACAGTACAAACTCGGAAAGGCCACTCAAAACCAAGTAAAATCTCCGGAATAATAAATATATATATTTCGAATTGTAGGGAAACTCTGTCGACGCCAGTCAATATATAGAAAAGGGAGCATTATGCCATCCACCATGGACCATGTGCAGCAGCTGACCGGCAGCCAGCTGGATGTCCTGTGCCAGAACTACAATGTAGCAGGGCATCATCCACTACATCGTCGACATTTGGAACGGCGTCTACATGTTGCCATCGTTACTGAGCGTGCCAAGTTGAGGGCGCACCACCTGTGGTACAAGTTCAATGAGGATCAACAGGCGTACTTCGACAATAGCTTTACACAGAATGAGCAACATGGGCAACGTGATGCCTCCTACAATATGTTTTTCTCGGATTATCGAACGGTGCGGGTAGATCCACGGCATCGTGGCGGCGATGAGCAGTTTGAGATTGATCAGGCGGTGGACGAGATCGAGGACGAGTACGTTTACGATTACGAGGACCCGGATGACTTGGAGGACGATGGTGAGCGAACCGCAGATGAAGGAGAAGATTTTGAACAGCAGCAGGAGCGGCAGTATCAGCAGTATCAGCAGTTCGAGTATGGACGTCAACAGGCGTTTAATAGAAACAATGCAATGCAACAGCAGCAGCAGCTGCTGCAGACATACCAACACCAGCAACAGCAGCAGCAGCAGCAGTACCAACAGCAGCAGCAGCAGCAGCAGCAGTACCCACAGCAGCAGCAGCAGCAGCAGCAGTACCAACAGCAGCAGCAGCAGCAGCAACAGCTCGATTGTGCACGTCCGCAGATAGTCAACGAGAGCAACATGCAGCCCCAGAAGAGCAAACCGAACACGTCTAACCAATATAATTATCAGCCGCAGATATCGAGATATTCCCAGCAAAATTTGCGGCAACAGATACATCCGCAACCAGAGCCACAGTCATTGTTGAAGCTAATGCCAGAGCAGCGCGTCTCCAATATTGCCTTCGCACCGAAACCGAGTTCCCCTACATCGAGTGATGGTTATTTTACTGATTCGAGCTCTAGCCATTTGACGGGTACGGAATATCTAACCGTGAGCAGCGGCAGCACGGATTATGAGTCATCGATTGGCCTTCCGGCAGATCAGGAGCATCAATTGCAAGATGCGGAACGTTTCATCAAAGCTCGAGAGCCCAAGGCTAGTTCGCCTGTATACATGGAGCTGGAGGCGGATGTCTCATCGGAGCGAGAGCTATGCACAGTTAACTACTTGAACAAAGATCAAGTCTTGGCCTTGCATAACGAGCGTGAACAAACTGATGACCAGCTGATGATGAAGCTCATGAACCGCGCACAATTGCTGAAGGATATAAATACCATTGGCGATAGACGAATCCTCGGCAGACACGCTCCTCGGCATCGCCGTCCTCGGCTCTGGCGCTTCATACTAGCTCTGCTGTCCAGCACTGCTCGCAAGGTCGCTTCTCACAAGGTGCAATACACGATCATCTGCTGCGCCGTTGTCGCCGTCAGCTATGCAAGCATCAAACTAGTGAAATAAACTCCCCCCAAAAAAAAAGAACTTTTTGGATATACTCCACTTTGTAGTATATTATTATGAGCCTCCCAATCTGTACGGGAAAGATAGCTTTCATCTTGGCTGTGTGATCAAGCTGCAGCATACTAGATCTCTTCACTCACAGCTAGCACCTATTAGCGTGGCTTTATCTACAGAAATCAATTGATAATGATGATATATATTCTTTTACACCATATTAATAATGCTGCTTTAGTTGAGAGTGTTCGACTGAAAGATACTCATTCCTTTTATATTTGTACGGTGTTTTTTAGAGCTTCATAACTTTGAGCTTGCAGAACTTCTTTATTTTCAAATATATATATCAGTTGATAGTTGTGTTTTGTTGAATTTCAAATGACATTTATTATAGATGGACTTATAAAACTGCATCGCCTGCAAATTGAAATTTTATTCAAAATAATTCGGAGAGAAGCTAATCCACAAACACTACATATATCCACACAAAATTACTAATAGTAATTATAGTAATTATAGTCTAAATCGGGTTTTGTACCAGTTTGACTATTTTACGCTATTATTTTGCTGTATTTCAGAATATCAATTTCTAGTTGCTTCTCTTTATCCATTAACGTTCAGAGCGACCCTCCACGAATGGCTTACTAAGCCATCTCACTCTCACTCACCAACAGCCGGAACTATGTACAACAGCAGCTATGTTTGTCTCTCTCGCTCACTGAGTGAGAGCTTGAGAATTGAGAAGTAAACTCACTCAGATAATACATTCCACACGCGCTCAGCCTCTCACTAATACTACAGCAAAAGTGAATTGCAATGCTAAGAAAACAAACTGCTAACAATTTTATATTAGCAATACGATATTTATTTTATTTGTATATGTACTAAAACTTATATAAATTAAACTGTGGCGTAACGAACTTGGAAATGCATTTTGAAAATTAAATTTGCAATGTTTGTTAGCTGTTTGAATGACATTTGAGTTGGTTGTGTTGGCATCACTCATGCTCCACGTGCTCGCAGCGCTTGTCATTTTCAAGTCTAACACGGAAATGAAACTTTAATTATATTTATGGTAAACGTCCGTAGCAGATGGCAGACGCTGCTTGAGGGCGCCCTGTCTGTCTCTGTCTCTACCCCTCTCTCTCCACTCCCACTGTGTTAAGGCAATCTTATGAGCGCTCTTAATGCGGGATTGCATAAAAATGAGCCATTGCAGCTGCATTCCATTCATGATCCACCTTGTTTGCTCCAGCCATGTTGCTCAAATATTTAATGACTTTTGGCAATTTCCCCCAAGTTGTACCTCGATTACTCGATTACGTTTAGCTAAAAGCTGGCGTCGACTCATCCTCTTTCCTCTCGACTTCCGCTCGAAATTTCAGCTGCTGTTCAGATATTTTCATATATTTTGCGAATGCTTTCTCAAGTCTTGTTAATGCATAATTTAATGCCACATAAGATTTTGGTTTTCTTACTTACAAAAAGGTTCTTTATTTTCTTAGGCAGAGTTTACTTTAACTTGAATTTCTCTCAATTTGAATTGATTGCATTGTCTCTGCTGAAGGATCTGAGGCAATTGGCACAGCCCCGCTATTGGGCTATAAATAAAACTTTGGTCATAAAAAGGGAGTTATAAAATCGTCAGCTTAATTGGCAAAGTCCCAATGCTTTAAAAACCCTTCCTTAATACAGGCAGGCGGAACAACACAACTGACGGCTGCCAAATGTGCGGCGATATGGCAGGTTTTGAGTCGAAAGATACCCTGTAAATAGTATATACAAATCTTAAATTTAAATTTTCAATTGTTAGAAATATATAAAAAAATAAGTAAAAAATGTAAAAAAATTTGTTATTTTTATTATTTTATTAAAAAGAAATTTAAATATATTAATTAATTAATTAATTATATTAATTAATTTATAAATTCAGTTGTTTATAAATTTAACGAATGAGAATGTTAGAAAAATTTTATAATTTGTAGTTTTTATTTAACAAATAAAAATATTATTAAACTTAACATTTCTATGTGTTTGGGATATCTTGCAGGTAATCGGATTTTAAGTTTATTTTTACTTCTATAAAGCCAGTTCATGCATAACTTCAGTAGATATATAGCCATAATAAAGCCATAAAACGCTAAAAGCTAAAAATTAATTCTCATTTATTGCTTTGCACAGAGATACTCATTAAATGCATATACCCAGTTACAGGATCATCCAGGCTACACACATCGACAGGGTATGAAAATGGCATTTTAATTTTCAAATGAGCCCATTAAATGCCCGCAGGGCCCCCGCACTTATTTGGCCATAAATTCGGCGGCTTTCTTATTTCGTAATTGGAGCTCATAGATTTGTGCAAGTTTTGTGGTCGAATTTAATTTCATTTGTCGTCATTGAATATGAATTTTTTACTAAGGTTTTTTCTAGTTGCGAGCTGCGATTTGCTGTCGAGATGATTGTTACAAATGTTTCGCCCTTGGAGTACAGTGGAAAGTGTTTTTGGCTAATGTGACTCTTGGCTTAAATCGCTGTCGTTGCTCAGCGCTGGCTAATGGCTTGACTTGTTTTGGCATTGCCTTTATGGTTGGTTGGCGTTCGTTCGTAACGCTGATTGCCGTTTAGAATACTTTGAAGTTTCTATTTCTCCTCTGTGCTGGAAAGTGCCAGAGAGCATATTAGTTACGGACTCTCGAATATATTTAGAGATAATCAGCTATGACTGGTATAAGCTGTGGGGTTTGCCTTTTATTTATATTTAATTTCATTTTTATTATTTTGAATGTCTAGACTGCAGATGGAGGATTTTTACTAATGGATTTTTGCTATATTTTTTGCTTTGTCCGAATCGGAATTAATACTGCTAGAATTCCCTCTGGACAACGCCTCGTATGCGTTATATTAATCATTTGACTCTTACGAGTTTATTTGCGTCATTCAAAATAAACATGGAACCACTAAACCTTTTTTTTTTATTTACTTTCTATACTCGTTCACGAAGTGAAAGGAGCATATTGGCTGTGTGCAATGTTCATTTTACCGATCGTCTGCTCGCCCGTCTGTACGTCAGTCGTCGGGGCATAAACTCGTTGGCATCCTCCTCTCTTAAAGTGTTAAGATTTTTCTGAGGCAACCTTTAGGGGCGTGGCACTTCGGGAAATACAATAACTATCAAAGGCTTACGAGTTACAGCTAGAAAATGTGAGCTGCGAAGTGTTCAACTCTCTTTGCACCCTGAACGAGTATGCAGCAGTCACTAATGCCCGACTGCAATGTTTCAGCTTGTTTTTTCAATCTCGTCGACAAACAGACTGCAACTCGATACTGATTGATTAGATTTCACATGGAGTCCGTCTGGTCAATCCCTTTAGTGGCCCGCCCTACTGCTTGCCGCTGAGACTATAAACCGATGCTTGACTACTCACATGACTAGGGTCATATAAGCAAATTGAATAGTAAACACATATTCGCTTCTGGGACAAACACAACTTAATGAATTAGTGCTGTCAGAAGCTAGAGTCAACATTGCATAAAGTTTTGCATTCAGTTTTTTCTCAACCTCAATAATCTGTTCTTTAGAATTCAATTTTAGTAAAGTCGACTTCACACAGCATCAAAACTCTCTCTCATTTTTGAAATGTCTAAATCAAATTTTTTATGCCTCTTAGCTATTGGCTCTTTAATGAACGTAAGCTCCAGTCTTGATCATCTGAAACTTTCATAGCTTTCCTATTTAATTTTGATTAGTTACTATATATGGACCATGTAAATACTACTTCAATGCCAGAGCGATTTCCTTAAGTCGGAGCTAACTTCCAATCGAAGGAAGGGAAAGGGCGAAGAAAGACAATCAAAGCGGTCAACATTTATTATCAATATACGACGTATAAGTATAAATTTTAACTTTTACTTCCATGGACATTGTAGTCAGACAGAAATGACAGAGTACTGCCAAAAAATCATAAGAAAATCATGAATATCTTTTAAAATCAACTAATGGAATAGCTAATAACTCTCTAAGACTATCAAATGGGTTGAAAAAATGTCTGAAAAAATATCTAAAAGCTAATTGGGACACATCTGAAATCATGCACAAAAGATTTCCGAATCTGTTAACCAAGAGCAATGAGCTTAAAGAAATTACTTTACTACTTGATCAAGATTAATTGATATTTAAGAATACATTAAAGAAGTAGTACCCAAAGAATTTATTTCATTTTTCTGATTAAACTGAATTCTGAATTAATAGGATTATATCAAATATTTTTAAATAGGCGGAAGATAATTGTACTTATAATACGTATATATATGTAGATACATTAACAGTTTACTGTTAACTAACAGAGTGGAACGTAAGTTCACTGTTAATTAAAAGTGCAAGTAAATTGAGTGATGTTAAATCAACTGCTCAAGTAAGAGCTGAAGAGAATGATAAATAAATACAATATCATAGCGTTGGGTTAACATCAGCTGCAGCTTTTAAGTCTACTACTCAAGCTGTTGTTAAATCTGTTGTTCAATAGCTGTTCTGCTGCTGTACATGTAATGGACAGCTATAAGAAAGGAAGGATTTGAACATATAGGTTCACCAGGACTATACTAACCAAAGATACGTTTATGTATGTAAATTTGTGTATTTAGCAACGACCGTATATATCTTATTAGATTTGCTTATGTACACATGTATGCTGTAATATGATATTATGGACTTCAGCAGTGTATAGATAGCTGAGCACGCAGACATACATATGCATTTCCTTGTTCTAAACGTAAATGTGGAATGAGTAATTTAAAAAGAGTCCACATTTTGGATTGAAACTGAATTGAGCGCTCTCCTATTTTTACTGCTTATTAGTTTTGCATAGGTATGTAATAATACGATTGCTTCGACTGCAGTTAGGTAAAGAGAGCTAAGCGCGCACACATATATAAGTAATTCTTTGTTCTGTGCGTATATGCCAAGTAAATAATTTTAGATAGGTCCCACAGATTGGATCGTAGCAGAGTGAGCGCCTTTGTGGACAGTTTTGAGTTTTGCTTTCGTACACACGTATGTATGTAATGAAAGCTAAGCACGCATACAAAAATGAACAATTCCATGCGCTGAGCGTAAATGGCGACTGAGTACTTTTACACTTGGTTTACAGAGTGGATCGTTACAGAGTAAAGTTAAGCGCAATTTTGGATAATGTATTGAGCGTATTCCTAGTCTCTCATTTCAGCAACGGCAGATAATGAGACCGTGTGAGCTGTTTTTATATTAGAGCAAGTTATGAGCTTGGCATTCAGTTGTTCGCGAACTTTTGCTTTGATCGCAGGTTATTTATTTAGAGACTAGTGCTCATTTTTTACATTATTTCTTTGTTTTATTTTTAATATGCGTCTGGATTCTGTGTGTATCGTCGATTGGTTTAAAACAAAAATATGTATGGCAGGTTATATTCCGTATACTGGGGAGTACCAGAGTCTTATCTCAGATAATAGCACTACGGCAGACCCGAGAAATGCTACAAGCCAATGCATAATCTGGAAATCAAGCCAAGTCTAGGTTTCACTACACAAGCTCTTCTTAGATCTTATAACTTCTTAGCTTCTATATAATTAACCTATTCATATGTTTTTCACATATGAGCTTTTTCCTCACCTCATCAGTCAATTAGTAATTTGATCAAAGTCAAATTTGCAAATATTTATTTTGATTTACCCCACGCATAACCCAATCAAAATATTTGCTGAAATATTTTGGTTTTGGGTTTCCCTATTAACAATGTGTTCGCCTTTGTACCTGTCGGCTGACAAATAGTGCTCACATCTTTGTTTACTCAAGCATCGAGTGACATCGACACTTTGACATCGAACCCATTAATTACACTGTCAATAGACAGCAATTGCCATGGCAATGCAATTTATGAGCTCAAATCCACTGTGAATTGTTGGAGTGTAATCAACTGAACTTTAACATCGAATTGAATTTGATTTTCTGATATAATTTTTAGTCAATTTAACATCGAGGGACAGTAGAACTACAGGAGACAATTGATATCTCTTTTGCAAAAGAAAAAGTGGAATATCAGCTGTGTTCCGAGTATTTTTACTAACTAGTAGAGTACGACGAGCTGCGTCAATTTAGTCTGTCTGTCCGTCCCTTCGTCTAGTCGCGTATTCTCGTCTACACTTCGATAACTTACACCCCATTTCCTTACTATAGATAAAAATAGATTACTTGATTACGGTTTTAAGCCTAGCTTGAATGCTTTAAATGCTGCAGACTTCAGGTGTAGTGTGTAGCTTCCTACCAAACGAATGAACAAAACTAACAAATGACATTGAATGCTTGGGTAAAATCAAACATTTTTTTTCAGCTATTTTTGTAGTAAGAAATCAGCGTATTTAGGAAATTTAGTTACAATTTAGTTACATTTGTATTTGCCTCCATATCTGCCCACATGTTGAGGGCTATCAAAAAGCCAAAAGACCAAGCCTCAATAAATGGCGCGAGCGTATACAAAATCCTGTAGAGAGCTGATATAAACCGTTATCCTCTGGTGCATACATTAAAGTATCAATGGCTTACAGAAACATGAGCACACGCATACACACACATAATATATATATATATATATATATATATATATATATATATATATATATATATATATATATATATATATATATATATATATTTATATATATATATATGCATAGCTTACTTATTTGACCCGGGACACATGTTCAAATTGAAAACCAATGCGCCGCGTATTTACGAGCTTAGCAAGTGAATCCGCCGGAAACGTATGTTCAGCCACAATTTAAAAGTCGCTGTCAAACTGTACGCGCTGGGTGGCAAAGTCGTTTGTAAATATTTGAGCAGCATAAATGGATAACTTTTGCATAAATAATGAGTACACATGAGTGCACATCTGACTAGCTAGAGATTTTCCTTGTTGCTGTGATATATATATATATATATATATATATATATATATATAGTAATATATATAAAAATATTGTTCTATATACTCTGATAGACTTTATTTTGGATATTCACAAATGAGTTATGAATAATATTTTTCAAATTATTTGCTCTTGCTTAACGCATGTAAGATAAATTATAAAAAAATTGGCAAAGCTTTTAAAATTTTCTAATAAGTGCATGTTATCGATAACGTTAACAGCTGCTTAAATATAGTAATAATAAATAAAAACATTTTGTATATATATTTAACACATATTGTCCAACTTGAGTCAACTTTTCCAATAACTTACACACTTTGCTAACATTATAAAGAATCAATTATTGTTTTGAGCAGCTTAAGCAATGAAATGCCATTAAATTGCGTATACGCAGCGTGTGTCATTATTGCCGGCAAATGGATTTGGGGCATTAAGATGTTTTTGCAGTCGAGGCAGAGCCACAAATTGATAAATATCACAAAAATGTATGGGTGGGAGGGAGACGGCGATAGATGGAGCAAGTGTGTGAGAGAGAGGAGGAGAGTGGAGCGTGTCGTGTGGCTTTTGTGGTGCTGTGCCTAGTGTTTGCGGTTTAATTTCTGGGGATTGGACCTAATACTGTAAGTAGCACACAAAAATCTAGGCGTATGTGTGTGAGTGTGCGCCTGAGTGTGTGTAAATGTGTATTATCTAACAATTGATATAAATTACGATTGCAATTGAATTGAATAACAAAAGCTATGCCATCTCAAATCTTACATGCAGCACTTTGCAGATATTTTTTGACATTTTCAATATGTTTGTTTTGAAATCGTTGGGAAGGAGATTCAGTTAAGTGGAAAGATAATATATGGAAAGCAGTATGTGTGAGTATATGCATTAAGGAGCTTGCTGAGCTGATCTTAACTTAAATATATCTGGAATAAAAGTCCAATTAGAGTATATAAAGCTCTGATTGTAATATACATATTCTCCAAATACTTACCTATCTCAAAAATATAACTGTAAATAGAATCGTATCTTAAAGGTATTTCGTTATGTTAACTAACAGAGTGTAATGTAAGATCACTGTACATGTTAATTGAGTGATGTTAAGACAAATGCTCAAGAGCACGATTAGAAAATATTCTCTTAACAGGGACTCAAGAGAATAATAAATATATCCAGTGTCGTAGCGGTGGTTTAAGAGAAGCTGCAGCTTTTAAATCTTCTACTCAAGCTGCAGTTAAATCTGTTGCCCAGCAACTGTTCAGTTGCTGTACATAAAAGGGCTGTAAGAAAGGTGAATTTTGCAATTTACATATTGTTGTCGTCTAATTGCCAGCTAATTAATATGCTGCCTTTAGGCATGGGATGTCAGCTGTAGCTGCAACTGCAACTGCAACTGCAACTTGTCGGTGGCTGTTATTAAATATGTTGCATATATTTGTCTACTGAATCTACCAGCGCTTGGGGCAAATTGTAAAGTTTTCAGCTGTGGAAAGGCAGCAGCAGCGAACTCTAGACATTGCAGTTCGATTTGTTTAATGCATTGAGCAGGGGTAGAATTTAAAGAGTATTTCGTACTTCTTTGTGCGCTGCAATAAACATTTCCTAGGCAATATTTTTATAGATGAATGAGTAATAAACAAATTTTATTTAACTAAGACTTTCTAGGGAAGCTCCCGATATACACACCGTTTCTTCCAATGGCGTGAATAAACTCAGCTCGAAATAACAGAAGTTAGATAACAGAGAACTGTGAAGAAGTTAAAGAAAAATGTTAATTCGAAATTATCAATAGGAATATCAATGAAAGTTAATAAATAGTGAATGTTCAATTTCAATTTCAATTTCAATTTCTTATTATTTATTGAGCTCGAGAAATGCTTTCATTGAATGTGGCAATGGTCCGAAATCCCAGGAGCACATGATGTCAATTAATATCAAATATGTCACATCAATTTGCGCCAGCCCAAAAGGGGCAAATGTTTTGGCAGGTTGACCAGAGTTTAGCCACAACGACAACTAT